ATTTGAGACATATGTATATATGTATTTGTTATTATATTCTGATTTGGAAGATAAACAATGCTAATTTGTTTGATACATATGATGTCGATCATTTAGAGGAGGTAAGCTAAAACACCCACTTTTTATAAAAATTTTTTCGAAAAAAAGTGGTGGGCCAACAAGAGTATAGAACCAAGTTTTAATATCTACTTCGTCACTTTTCTATATATTTTGCTATAGTTCAGTTTTTGTTGTTGTTAATCAGAGGATCATTGGAAAGAGTTGAATATAAAATATATAATAAAATTTAAGAGAAAACATAATAAATATATAGTAAAAATTGTTAATAAAATGTAACTAATAAAAATTAACTAATAATATGAGGTATCATTTATTAAAACAGCCCATTTTTACAATTTTTTGAAAAATGAGTTTTTATTAGATTTATATAAATTTTAGCATGATTAACACTTTTCAATTATAAATGAAAACCGATTTGTATAATAAAAAATCAAGAAAATGTAAAGAAAAAATTACATGAGGCTTCGTAGAGCCAACACATTATGAGATTACCTGATAGTCACCTGCTACTTTTAACCAATCAAAATCGAGAAATTTGATAATCCCGGATCAGGCTGAAAATCAAAACAAATGATTAAACTCAATTATCTCAAAATTGGTCAAATGTAAAAATGGGCTGTTTTAATAGATGACACCCCATATAAGTTTAACTAATAAAATAAATACTAATAAAATTTGATTATATTACAATATCACAAGGCTACCAATAAAGGAAAAAAAGAGTTAAATATTTAATTAATTAGTTATTTAGTTAAATATTAATTGAAATTTTTTATATAATTTTGTTTAATTTTATATTAATTTTTTATTATTTTTTTTAATTTAAATTAAAAGTTAATAGCTTTTTGTAATTTCTACTATAAAGTATTATAGATTTAAATAAAAATTACCACAATAAATGTTTATATACATTATTATACGTATCGGGATTTTAAGTTTGAGATTATAACTATACTACCGCTACCGTCACAGCAAACATAAACCTCATTTCTAACTCTGCCATATTCTAAACCTTAACTATAGTGTTGACCATGCGGTGTTAGTGCTGGTCATTTAAACATACCCTAAAACTAACCAATAGGATAACATGTTTTTATAATAAATTTTACGGTATGTTTAGGTGTATTAACAAAGTAAGTACAGGAATATCAAAAAACGTAAGTACAGTGCAGGAGTACGTATCAAAAGTAGCCACCAATTGGTTAATCACATGACCAGTGATGATTACCCTTAACTTAAATTTTGGGTTTAGTTCAATTTGAAACTAACGCTAAATATTAAGCTTATTTTAAAAATGTATTATTAAAATTTATATATAATATGTAATACGTACGTATACGTAATGTAAAAAAAAATCTTAGTAAGATCATACGCATAAACTTAATTTTATGGTTAAAAACGTACATAAGTCTGAAATTAACATGTGCATACGTATGTATTATACGTACATATACAAAATTTCTTGATACGTAAAAAAAAAAAAAAGAAAGATAATTAATAATATTTATAAAATTACCCCTCATACGTATCAGGTATGTATGTGCGTACGTAGATAACAGATAATGATAAGAACAAGAATTAATTCATCCGTAATAGAATTAATTCATACCGATACGTTAATTCATATGTAATAGAATTAATTTATACGTAATAGAATTAATTCATACGTAATAGAATTAATTCATACCAGATACGTAACAAACGGCTATGTATGATGATATTCAGAATGATTTACTAAAAACGTAACGGTAAGTATTTACACAAAGTTTCAAGCTTTTAGCAGCACATGACAAGTACGTACGTAAAAAGACTACAAGAAAAATTATTGTTTATGCATAGTGTTACTTTCTGATAGCGTTTGAACGGATTTTTTTTCTCTCAAAATTTATAAAGTTTGTTATATTGGCATATAAATAAATGCGCCTAATGATTTAAATTCACATGATACTACAAATATGCCAAAGTAGTATATTAATGTGTCAAGTTCACACGTCTCATAATAGAGCCACTAAAGGCAATTGTGAAAACCTAAATGTCTTCTTTGCGTGGAAAGTTTTATATTTAAAGGGTTGTTTGAGTTTTTCGGTGGAGTTGAAGTAATACAAATTTCACATGTAAATTACAAAAACGCGAAGATTTGCAAGTTACACTGAAATAAAACTCGGACCGCAGTAGTGTCAAAAGTGCATTTAGGTGGCACGTATGAAATCTACACGTTAACGCGACCGTTCGTTAGATAAGAATTCACATGGATACATGGATACATGGATAATTCATGGATCCTTTTTTTAATATATATATTCGTGCATGAGAGAAGCGTTAAAATCAATAAGCCGAATAGAGTTTAATTGCCACGACAATTATGCACAGACTATTTTATATAGGGGTGGCGGGAATCCTAAGTGGGACCGGGGGTAAAAGTTCTATTGTATGAGGAGTCAAACTTAATGTGATCATAGTAATCATAGTGATAACAAAGAATATGCAGATCTTGAATCGACCCATTTATCAAATTATCAAACAAATTATCAAGTAATATCAAAGAAAAGGATTTACTATAATAGAATTAGGGATGAAAAATTGGTTGGTTCAAATTCATTGAAATTCATTGAAATTCATTGAAATTCATTGAAATTCATTGAAATTCATTGAATTTTCATTAAATATGCAACTAAAGTTTAAAATTAAATCCTTCTCGTTATGAAAATAAGCTTAATAATACAATAAATATAGTTTATATATTCCTGTATTCCCTGGTAAAAAATGAATATGTTAAAACATTTAAATGATTTACACGGGATAATAATGGTCAAAAAGCATTTATATATTTTTACTGTAAAAATTTTTTGCATATCATACCAAATTCATTATAACATCATCTACCTATCTACATACCGATACATATCAAAAAAATTTTTTTTGAAACTTTATATTTCCCTTATTCCTTTAAGATAAGCGTCATTTACCTTTTATTATACTTTCTTTAGATTCAATGGTTCATTCAAGTGAATTGAAATAACGAGTATGTAGATTTTTTTTCTTTTTTAACACTTTCAACTTTTGAATCCGACTTTATTGTGAATCCGGAGCCTAAATGACATTCATTCATTTTTATATGCAGATAGCTTTATTATTATTAATAATAAATGTTAAAATTTTATTATTATAACGAATTATTATTCTAACGAAAAGAACTTACAAGAATTTGACAAGAACACGGACGTATAAATAATTTATTATTTAGATATACATACTAAATGACATTTACGGAGACAGCGCAGACTTCTACTGAAAAAAACGACGACCTTCGTATCCAAGAATTAATAGCTGCTTCTCAAAAGTTACTTAGTCAAAATACACAACCTCCCACTCCAACTGCTACCTCTAGTTCAGGTTTCAATTTTCACCCAGAAACTTTGGGTCAAGAGAAGCAACAAATACGTGCAAGGAAACCGAAAACAAAGGCTATCTCTGAACATTTGAACGGCTTTGGAGACGCTTCTGATATGTCCTTGCCCATGTCGCACAACGGTTCTACTCCCTCGGTGATTAGTATGACGAACGGCTCGACTCCCGCACATATCGTTAATAACGGAACCACTGTTGGAAATATAAATAGTGGTTCAAACTCTCCTAGTTCTGCGTCTTCAACTTCAACAAACAGTATGACGAACGGAATACGAGGTGATAGAAGATCATATAAAGAGAGAAATGATCCGGAGATTTCTACTAGCCCTCCCGAGCTAATAAGAGATCCAACCTCGGAATCTTTTTCTACTCATACTCATATTTGGCCAATCGTCTTTGCCGTAGTGCCACCTATGGGTGCACTTATTTATGGTAAATCTGATGTCTGGAGTGACTTTCTCTTGTTACTCTTGATCGCTTTTTACCTATATAATATTATCAAAGGTATTTATTATTATATCTTGTACTTATAAATTTAATTAATTAGTTGATATGTAATATTTAAAATTATAGCGATCTAATTATAATGATTTAAAAAAAAAA